TTAGTGGTTCCCCATATCTTTTGCCGAGCTGTCAGGTGGTTTTTAGTCACGTGCAGAAATTAGAACATTCAGCAACGTTCGAAATCGATGCGAAAATCGTTAATAATCGACTAATCGCTAAAATACTGGATTTCCTAGGCAATTCTTACTTTCTCCCGGACACCTCACCTCCTGAGATATCGTCCGAGGTATACGATGAAAGCCTAGGATTAACTTGCAGTTTTCGGGACGGTGTTCTCTGCCTGTCGGTCCATCTCCTTGGCAGAAGTGCCTGAGAACTGTGTTCCGATGTCCGTGTTCTGGATTCTTTGCTCGACTGTGTGCAGTCGTCCACTGCTACCTTCGGCAAGTTGAAGCTTTCCACCAATAAATCGAACGGGAGGTCGGTAGGCCTTGCTTGTTCTGGTTGGCACAATGTGGGCCGTAACTAGCTTGCATGCCGTGCCCAGATCTGTGCGCCCACCATCACGTCATACATGACGTTTCCGCGCTTGCTTTTGACCGTCCCTGGCGTCCATTTCGCATGGCCTTCCCAATAGTCACGTACTAGCACCTTGTGTACAAGCGTAAACGATCGCTTCTTTGCTACATACCGCCGGTTAAAATCCTGTTCCATTCTGTGGTTTCTTTCACCAACAGAGGATTCCGAGCGCCGTCGGATGATGTCGAAAGGCATGCGGAGCTTCCGGTTCATCATAGCCTGTGCTGGAGAAACTCCGTCTGGTGCTTGTGGATTCGGTGTTGATCGGTAGAGGAAAAGGAACCGGTCAACCACCTCCTCCATACGTCCGTCCCCTTTTGATTTGTGGAGAGCTCGCTTGAACGTATCGACAAACCTTTCTGCCTGGCCATCCGACCGTGGGTAAACGGTAGCGAGCGAATGTGCTGGACAGTGCATTGCTTGCAGAACTCCGTAAACGTTGCCGAAGTGAATTGGGTGCCATTGTCAGTTACAATTGTCTCGGGATAGACGAATCTGCTAAAGGTTTGGCGCAGTTTTGATACAGTGGCATTGGTGGTTGTGCTCGTCCTTGGGATCGAAGACGAGATCACGAACCGGATAGCAAATGCTCGAAGTGCTTTTGATAACTTTCGCCACCTATGGCCGCGGCGCGACATTACTCTCGCCCTGAAGGGTAGAGTGTACAATGCAGCGGTACGTTCGACCCTACTGTACGGTTACGAAACGTGGCACCTAAGGTCGGCGGACATGAAGAGGCTAGTTACGCTCGACCATCAGTGCCTTCGCAGTTTGGCTCACATCTGGTGGGAACACCGCGTGAATAACGAGCGTGTTCGACGCCTTGTTTACGGCACAGGTAAAGGAACTGAACCGCTCAGCACCGTCATTTCACGCACCAGGCTCCGATGGCTGGGCCACGTGTTACGCATGCCAGCCCACCGACTTCCACGACGTGCGTTGTTTGCTCACCGGGGATGTGGATAGAAGGAGGGGTGGCCAAGCGATGACTTGGTCCAGAGGAATGAAGGCCCTCACTTCGGAGCTGGCCTCGGTTGGAGCGTCACGGCTACCTGGTTGGGGTCCAAAATACGGTAGACACGTTTGGCTGGATACACTTGCTGACATGGCAAGGAGCCGACCTCAGTGGCGTTCCTGCTGTGAGTTTTTTTGTCCTTCCCCATCTCTTTTAGCCTCCCCCCTCCACCTACGATCACATTTCGTAGTGTGAAACATAATAATTTTTTGTTGCCAAGTAGCCGGCTGGTAGCTTACCGGGACAATGCCTATCCGTTGCTGGTAGCTCAGCTGGCATGCAACTTTTGTATTTATTTTCCTTTTTCATTTATGTATTGCGACACAGTAGCTGAGGTGTTTCCCACCTCTAGCTGACGTGTATAATGATGGTGATGATGATGGTGGTTGTGCTATCCATGAGAAATACTTCAGCCCACTTGCTGTATGAGTCGACCATAATAAGGAAACTTCTGCCGTTGATCGGTCCTGCAAAGTCGACATGGATGCGGCACCATGGCTTAGTAGCCTTTGGCCATGAATAGAGTTGATTTTTGTGGCGCTTTCAAGACATTGGCGCACTTTTGTCAGCGTTTAGCTATTTCTTCCAGCTGTTTGTCCATGAAGAGCCAGTATACATAACTGCGGGCAAGCGCCTTCATCCGGTTTATAGGTCTTTCACTGACCTTCGACTTCTAGAATTGGGAGGTCAGCCACCAAGGTTAGTGGTTCCCCATATCTTTTGCCGAGGTGTCAGGTGGTTTTTAGTCACGTGCAGAAACTAGAACATTCAGGAACGTTCGAAATCGATGCGATAATCGTTAATAGTCGACTAATCGCTAAAATAGTGGATTTCCTAGGCAATTCTTACCTTCTGCCGGACAAACTCGAAGGATCCGGTCAAGCACCGATGGGAATGATGCTGATGATGTCGTCTGCGTGCATCATCCTGCAATGTCAATGGTGAGAATTTGCAAACGATAATTAATGCGTTTCTTTTCCAAGGAGTCTACGCATTGGACATCTATCTCAGTTCTGGCTGAGCACTACACTGTTTGAGTTGGGTAATGACACTCGGAAACCGTAGACTCGAGCTGCGTGGTAAGTATGGTGGAAGTCGCAGGTTATCTGACTCGCGTATCAGCCAATCATCAGATGATACGTAATGGTTGGGTGCTTGGTTTGTAACCGTGTTCGAATCTCCGCTGCTGCATGGAGTTGGGTGTTCTTGTAGTACTCCAGCTTGTGCACAACCGCTTATGATAACATGGGAGGGATGCATTACTAGTCTGCTGGTGACGAGACATAAATGGTTTAAGACACCGAACCAGGTAAGGTCTACATCGATTTCAGTAACGCGCTTGACAAGGAGAGCCACGAGGGCCTACTCTACAAGCTGAAATTGTGCGGTGTTGGTGAGTCACTGCACCAGTGGATCAGGGAGTTTCAAGCTGGACGAAAGCGGAGAGCAGGTGGATGGCCATTTAACGGGGTGGTCAGGATATTGAGTCAAAGGTTCCGGGCGAAGTCCCTCAAGCAAACCTTCATACCACCTATTGTCTTGGGTCAGGCAATTGCGCCAAAGGCTTCGGGCGAAGTCCCTCAAGTAAAACACCGTAGCACAACCACGACCACGCATGTGATTGACCACCAATGCGATCGTATGCTTGCGCGCAAAGCACTCAACATCGGGTGCTGGAACGTGCGCACACTACAGGACCGAAACTCGAGTGAGCGCCCCGAGCGACGCACTGCACTCGTCGCGATGGAATTGGCGCGCTACAACATCGATATTGCGGTGTTCGGCGAGACCCAGTTCGCTGAGCAAAGAAAGTTGCGTGAAGTCGGTGCCGGTTATACGTTCTATTGGGTGGAAACGCATTCCCATCACCACGTGAACATGGGATCGGACTTGCACTATCCGATCGCCTCCATGGCCAGCTGGTGGGTGAGCCGACTGACATCAGCGCGCGACTGATGACTGTTCGCCTACGACTCGGAAGGGGTACGTTTGCCACTTTATAAGCACGTACGGTCCGACCATGTATTATCCTGATGACACGCGTGGTCAATTCTACACTCAGCTATCCTTCGTGATACGGTCTGTGCCGAGGAGCGACCGACTATTTCTGCTGGGTGATTTCAACGCGCGTTGGGCGTAATGCATCGATGTGGACATATGTCATCGGTCCGCATGGCACCGGTTCAGCGAATACGAACGGTGACAGGCTGCTCGCACTGTGTGCCACTCGGCCTGACGATCACCAACACCTGGTTTGCGCTGAGTTCGAGTGATATAGCAACTTGGACGCACCCACGGAGTGGTCGCGCTCACCTAGTCGACTATGTCATCGTACGTCAGCATGACATGCGTGAAGTGCATGGAGCTGAGTGTGGCACAGATCATAAGTTGGTGCTGATGAAACAGTAGATATGTTTTCGTAAATCTATGTATTTCACTCCCGCCGTGAACCGGCGGAAATATAACGTCCTTTCCCTAAGTCCTGTGACGAAACGTATTGAGCTGGAGAAGGTGATGTCTGTATGCCTGTGTGATGTGGAATGCATAGCCACAGTGGGCGACCTGTGGCACCACATTCGCGACCAGGCGACAGCTGCTGCCGAGGAAACCATCGGGCGCGCAAACTGTAAGCGGCCCGATTGGTTTGATGAGAGCAATGCGACGATTGGCGCATTGGTGTCTGAGAAGAATGCAGCATTTGCTGCACATGTGGCAGACCCCAGTGACTTAGGGAAGAATAGTCAGCTTCGCAATATTCGACGGCAACTGACCCGAGAGCCCCGTCACATTAAAAATGCATGGTGGACGGAGAAGGCGAAGCAGATGGAATGCTACGCCGCACGCTGCCAACACGGAATTCTCCGATTCCTTGAAGGCGCTGTATGGACCGAGGTTGCAGCCACTGAGGACGCTGACTGATGGTAGTTCAGGCGCTACATGCACAAAGACTGCAGACATAATGCAGAACTGGTGAAAACACTTTGAGCGTCCCTTGAACAACTGCCATCACTTGAACGGTCTGAAGCAGCACGAGGTGAATGTTAGTTGGACGGACACGCCGACACTTGATGAGATGCAGAGAGCAGTTGCTCAGCTGCGAAACGGCAAGTGTACCGGTGTCGACGGGATCCCGCCTGAAGTATTGAAACACAGCGGACCCGCGTTGTTGACTGCGCTGCACCACTTGGTGCAACGCGTGGGGATTGAGAAAAAGGTGCCTCGTCAAGTGAACCATGCCCTTGTGCTACCACTGTACAAGGACAAGGAAAACAAGCAATGTGCCACGAATTATCGTGGTATCAACTTGTTGAGTAGTGTGGGCAAGGTGATTGCCCGAATCCTGCTCAACCGCCTCGTCAGTCAGGTTGTGGAACCGAAAGTGACAGAAGAGCAATGGGGATTCTGCTCGGGCCGCAGCACCATTGATATGGTTTGATGTTCGTCAGCCACAGGAGAAATAAGGAGAGTGACATCAGCCGTTGTACTCGCTGTTTGCAGACTTCAGCAAGTCATTTGATAAGGTGAACCGCGAGGCACTGTGGCTGGAGTTGGGTAAGTTTGGTTGCCATCGTAAGTTTGTAAGTTTAATTCAATGTCTGCACATTGGTATGCTGGCGAGGATGCATCTGTGTGGACAGACTTTGATGACTTTGCAGTTTTCACTGGTGTGAAGCAAAGCTGTGTCTTAGCTCGTGCGCTGTTTTATATTTAATTTCATGCCAAGATGTAGTGTGCGTTTGATGCGCCTTGTGCTTACGGTGTTCGTGTGGAGCACCATATTGATGATGGGTTGCTGAACATCCGTCGTTTCGGTGCGAGAATTCTAGTCTGTGAGACAACTACCCGTATGTTGCTGTTTGCTGACGACTGTGCGTTGTTTGCACACAGCGCGCATGAGTTGCAGCACATGACTAGTGCTCTGGCTCCGACAACGGCCAAATTCGGACTCACCATCAACACAACCAAAACTGTCTGTGTCTTCCAGCCTTCCCCGGAGGTGCAATCTTCAATATTGCCGCGAATCAGAATTGGTGCTGAAGCACTGGAAGCCACCTCCTGCTTCTGCTACCTTGAGAGTGTGGTTTCGAATGACCAGCAAATACACAGTGTGCAGTGTATCCGCGTATCGAAGGTAAGGGCGCAATTCGGGAAGCTTAAGTACCGAGTGTGGAACAACCATCAGCTTATCATTGGCACGAAGTTGATGGAGTACAAACCCATGGTGCTATCCGTTCTTCTATACGGCAGCAAAACGTGGACGAGGTACTGGCGAGACGTGAGATATAGCTTGCGGTTTCATCAACAATGTCTGCGAGGGATTCTTCGTATCAGTTCGTGTGACAGAGTTGCTGACACGGAGGTGTTGCGAAGTGGAATTTATGCAGTGGACTGCATATTTTTGCTGAGACACCTGAGGTGGCTCGGTCAGGTGTGCTGTATGAATTCGACGCGGATATCGAAGCAGGTGTTATACGGTCAGCTGAGTGCTGGAAAGCGGCATGCGGGGAAATCGAAGCTTCGTTACCAAGACATGATCAAGGAGAGCCTATCACGCTCTAATGTTGATCTCAAGTGTTTGGAATCGAAGGCAGTTGGTCGGCGTGCATGGCGCAATCTAATCACGAAGGCGGTCACTGAGGTGCAATAAAAAAGCACTCATGCATGCGGAGAAGAGGCAGCAGGTGCGGAAGCATAAGGTACCGATGGGGTGTACTCCATCGACGTGGAGCACATGGTGCTGTAGCACATGCGGTCGCGAGTGCCTGAGTCAGGCAGACCTAGTGAGCCATGAGCGAGGCCACTTGGGACCA